TGTACTCTCATAGATGCTCCCTGATACAATGTTTTCGCCCAAGATATAATTTCCTTCCCGAATCCCTGCCAACGCATGAACCTCCATAACGCATCCCTCTCCACACTATCGTAAGCAGCTCGCCAATCCAATGCCAACACACCCCCACCCCCAACTCCCCCTCTTTTCTATAAAACTTCTAAGAACTCCATGCCCTTCATACATTGTCCTACCCGGTACCCCATATTGTCCTCTGTCAATTACGTTACCTATCACCTTTTTTATTCTATTCCCTAATATTCGTGCAAATAACTTATAATCGCCACACATAAGCGATATTGCTCGGTAATCCTCTACTGTAGTCTGTCCACCTTTCGGAACTAATACCACGACAGCAGTCCTTTGCTGCTCCCCCATTTCCCCATCATCCTTCATTACATTGAATAACCTAACTAAAAATCCTCTCAATACTTCCCAATTCCTAACGTAAAAATCATTAGGCAACCCATCTACACCTGGCGCCTTACCTAAACTTGCACCAGACAAAGCTTGCGAAATCTCACTTTCCGTGATCGGACCTTCTAATGTTACCCTATCCATACCATCAATCTCACATTGCACGAAACCTCCCATTTCCTTTAAAGCCTCATCTCGAATACCTCCGTTTTGTGCATATGACCTAAACCATGCATCTAGATAACCACTCATACCCTCTGTCGTTACTAATACCTGCCCCTCTCTATACCCTCCCATCCCCACATGAACAGTTAATCCCATCATCTCTGTCGCCACTCTTCTCTTACGCTGTTTCCTCAACACGCATGCCGAAGGCCTGTCACCCCATAACACCTCTTCCAGCCACCCAAAACTCGCGCGCCATCAAATCTTTCATTTTGCAAATCCCTGATACGCTCCTTTAATCCCTCAATATCATCCACCGGATGACTAGCACTCCCACGCTCGTAGCAAGCTCTCAACTGTCCCTCAAGATAAGATTGGTACCCATACTTCAACCTGTTATATTCCCTCCCACTACGAATATAAAATTCCTTAATACGAGATTTCGCCACAGAGTCCCACCAACTAACCAATTCACTATTCCCAGGCGCCTCCGCCACCAACTCCTCCCACAATTGAACAAATGACTGTTGATACTCTTCTTGCTGCAACAACTTTACATTCAACTTCCAAAACCCCTTACACCTTCTCGGCAACCCCTCCCAACCTATATCCACCAAAACACCCCTGTGATCAGAAAATACTACGTCCATTACCCTCACACTATGTATTACAACTGTCCTGGGAATGTATAATCGATCGAGCCTAGCCGCATACCCACGTTTAATAAATGTGTGCTCCACCACCTCACCTCCCTCAACATCTGTCAATCCTATCCCGGATAACAATTCTCCCAATATCCTCAAACAATGCCCTGCCCCTCTCGGTTCAACATCCTTATTCCTTATCACACAGTTCCAGTCACCTCCTATCACAGCAACCCCCGGCAATCCACGCAAATAATATACCAGAACGTCCCTTACGAATTTATTCTTTATCCTCACATCTCCCTCTGCTGGGCCATACACACACACCAACGTCATCTGTACCTGACCCCATAACCCATCCACGCGAATCACCCTCCCCTCTCCCCCCTCACTATGCCTGACAACCAACGGGCTAGTTTCTTTCACCAAAATGGCCACACCTCCTTTCAATCTGACTGCATGCTCAACATACACATTATACCCATCCACCTTCAACTCATAACCCGGTCTATAATTGTGTTCCTGCAAGAACACAACGTCAACGTCATGACGCACCAAATATTCCTTAAACCACTCACACTTTCTCTGAGACCTCAAGCCATTGATGTTCAATGTCAGGCACTTAAAACGACAAAGGGGGTTTCCCTCTTGACACTACCGACTTATCACCTGATCGTTTCATTGCACCCTTTTCCCTCCCCCCCCTTTCTGTCCACCCTTACCCAACCCCTGCCCCTGGGCGCCACTTGAACCTCTCCGCATGGCTTCCGCCCATGTTTTCTTCCCAGGTCTTTGTGCGGGCGTAAGCACGTCGTCGGAATCCGAAAGCACTGCTGCGCGCTTTCGCGTCGTACCCGCGACCTGCATCAAGTCATCCAGCTCAGTGCCATGATGAACCTCCACCTCCACAGTTCTCACCAACTGTGCATCTTACGACACACTTCAGTCTGGGTTGGCGTCACCACGCCCTCCTCAACTGCAGACCCATGATCCAGGTCTGTACCAACATCCTGGACAAGGACTCTCATTATCCAAAATGTTCTCAAACGTCGACACTATCGTAGTTTCCGCGTCACTACCATTCGCTTCCGCGATGACCTCATCAAGCACTTGTACAACGTCCAGGGAAGTGATGTCGTCCCCCTGCGTAGCCCCCGCCATCTCCTTTTCTTCGGCCCTCTCAACCTCCTCACTCCATGTCAAACTCTGCAGAGGCAGAGTCGAAAACAGTTGATCTTGATCCTCTCTCCCCTCATGGAAGGTTCCTTGATGTTGGTGAGGGGCTCTTGATTTAAGGAATTGGATCTGTGCTCCAGTTCCCCGAATTAAGCCTGAATGCCTTCCACATCCCCCCTCCCCTGGGCGCTGTATAATCCTACGGGTTTAGCGCTTCCCCCTTGATTATAATAATAATAATTGATCCTCTCTCCTTTCCTCCACATCACGTCGTTGCTGCTGGTCCCTATCACCACGTCTTCTTTCACATTGCGCAGCCAGGTGATCATACGAGCCGCACAAACGGCAAGTGCTTCGCTGCCCAGCGTATGTTACAAAAACCTGAGTCCTGAAATCTTCCATCACCACGTACGATGGAATTGGATGTCTGAGCGTCATCTTGACAGAGAATGCACCCTCAGGTATCCCCATATACTGGCCAACTGACCACCTTCCTGCAGTGATCGTATGTATTGTGCCGTATTTACACATAATGAACCGGATGTCAGATGCATCCGCCTCGAACGGCACATTCCTGATCTTAACCCATGTGTAATAGCTGGACACATCATGCAGCCGCACCGTCACAGCATGGTTAACTGGTATGGCCACCTCTTGAAACTTATTCACAACTGCCTCATACACAGTCGCCGAACTAAATTTTACAAAAATCCTCTTCGTTCCGTTCAATGCAAGTCCACAAATCTCCTCTTTGGCTATTCCGTAGGTATCTCTGATGATTGCAGGCAAAAGCAACTCCATTGATGGCCCCGTTACAGCTCCACTGGTTAATACAATGCAGACTGTATTTACCCTGCGCCGGCGAGCCTGCGCCATGTTGGTGAAAATAATACTGCCACCAGACAACTCCAGGGGGCAGCAGCAGCACACGTCCTCTCCACTCAAGGGTTGAGAGACGAATGAATTCAGAGATGGATATAACTGCCGCCCTAATTTTGTTAGCTAGAATCCTAATCTCTGCCAATTTTGGAAGAAGTGATCTTGCGTTGACATGAATACAGTGATGGCCTGTTCTCATAAAACAATTATAATCATCAATATATGGCAATGGGTCATTTGTATTAAAATTAGGTAAATCAATGTCATCATTGCTAAAGGGTAACTGTGCCAAAGTGCATTTGTTAACACACAAAATGAATTCTGGCACCATTACTATAATTGTACATACATCCATTATGCACCCACCCCTTACACATTTTACATAAAGTGCCTTTTCTCTTTTTCTTGAGTACTTTAGTGCAATGTATGCACCTGTTTGGTGGTGTTTGAGATAATAAGAATGGCTCTATTGTCTCACATTGACCTATGTATGCATTACATATAGAGTTAAGGTTATCATTCCTAGCTACTAGACCGTCATTAACACCATCACTTATCTGCCTGTTTTGCCTCTGCACAATAGTTTGAGGTCCTGGATTAATTTGGATATCACCACTTAACAGCGCCACTATAAGAGCTGTGTGCCACTGTTTTTGTTTGGGTATGTGGTATTGCCATACTTTGCGGCGATAGTGACATTTACGTGTCTGGTAAGATGGCAACTGTTGGGCTTTTACTGTCCAAGGTGCTACTACCCCCAGTCGCCTTTTCCAGCCCCCATGACTGATTTCCTTCTTCACGGAATTGCAGGAGAAAGATAAATATAATTATGGCAGCCTGTACCCCCCTAATGCCTGCCATTTTCACTCTTCACTCTTTTACTCATACACAACAATATTTATTTATCTTTTCCAGTCACCTGGCAAACCCTAGTAGCTGCTCTAGCAGTCATCACTGAATTACTAGTAAATTTCCTGGTATCTACTTCAAAACCCTCTTCACTCCTCACTTATCCCTTTTCTTCACAAACCCCTTTCACTTATCCCCTTAGTTCACACCCCCCTTCACGCCACTTCACAGTCCGGCTTCACCTATTACATTTCTAACTCATTTCCATTCTGGCAGGACTAGAAGGGTTTAATCAATGGCTTTATCCGTCCAAATCACCATCAATTCCATTTATCGGGGTTGCGTCGTGTTGTTGACTGCCTGACCTGGTCTACTGTTTCAGCCATTTTTAAAAGCACTGAGGGAAGAAAACGCCACCTACAACCTGACTTTCCGTTAGTTTTATAGATATATTTGGCGTTTTCACCTATGATTCTCTCTCTAAACACTAGTTAGCTGAATATAGGTCAGCTACTAAAACATTAACCTTGACTGTTTAACTATTCACCCGGTCATGATTGTGACCAGATCTACCTTAAGTTCATTACCTTGTAACTTGGTCTTGATTGTGGCTAGATCTACCTGGAGTTCATTGCCTTGTAATTTGGTCATAATTGTTACCAGATCTACCTTAAGTTCATTACCTTGTAACTTGGTCTTGATTGTGGCTAGATCTACCTGGAGTTCATTGCCTTGTAATTTGGTCATAATTGTTACCAGATCTACCTTAAGTTCATTACCTTGTAACTTGGCCATGATTGTGACAGCTCTACTTGGAGTTCATTACCTTTGGGTAACATCTTTCTCGTGCCCTGGGATGTAGGGCTGGATACGGCGTAAGCTGTCAGTGGCCCTTACAAACCCAACAACAACTGTGTAGTTGTGCTCCACGCGGCCAGCACAGTGTTATAATACAGAGTTCCTTGTCTCTGTGTATAACATCAATTAAGACGTTTGGCTGATATTTGTGTGTGCAAGACGCAGCCATGGGTAAAAGGAGGAAGTAAGTAGAGAGAATTCACATTAAGCTTCACCTTTTTGTAGACTAGAATTCTATTTTAGGCTGTGCATTAGTATTGTTTGAAAACTTAATTATTTATTTCCAGTGTTTGGTTATTGTGTTGTAAGATAAGAACATAAGAAAGAAGGAACACTGTAGCAGGCCTACTGGCCCATGTGAGGCAGGTCCAACTCTCCTACCGGCTTATGCCATTAACCCAACTTAGTCAGGTCCAGATCACATCCACTTATGGAAGGAGCACGGCATCAGACCTACTAGCACAAGCTAGTCAGGTCCAACTCATACTCACTCATGTATTTATCAAACTTTTTTTTAAACTATTGAAAATTTTAACTTCTCTGACGGTACTCTGGAGTTTGTTCCACTCATCCACAACTCTGTGACAGTCTCTTTACTGTCAGTTGTATTCACAGCTTGATAACTGCCTACATGGGATTTCCCACTCGGTGATTTAGTGGGAGAAAGTTTACTTTTCTTACGCTGAGTTGAAGGTTTGGTGTCCATAATAGGATTTGTAGGTTTATCATCATGTCTCATTGCTTGCATGCGAGAAACTATGTCTAATAAACCTTTGCTAATTTCTTCAAAGTTAATGATTGTGACCAGATCTACCTGGAGTTCATTACCTTTGTAACTAGTTCAGCTATCATAACTTTGGGGTCCAGTCCCTGGACCCATTATGTACCTTTGTAATCTTTTGACTACCGCCCACAGGATGGTTATGGGGTGCATAATAAACATATTAAACTAACTAACTAATTTCTTCACAAGAGAAATAGCATTTGTTGAACATAATATTTATTTTTTCAGTGATTTGTGGTGACAGTTTATCCTGTACAATACCACTGATAAACCAGTCACATTGATTTATGTCATATTTAGTCTTTAGAGTTCTGAGACAATTGTCTAGTGTCATTCTAAATGGACAGTATCAATTGTTAAAAGACTGCTTTTTTTGTTGTATTTTATAGAAAAACTGCAAAAATTCTTTAATTTCAGGGATTGGTCTTAAATTCCTGTGAGTACTCACTATTTGGTGGAAAAAAGTGGGTATGTATTTATTTGGGTTTCCTCTGGAGACAAATTTTGAGAAATCTTTCTAAATTCTTGGTATTTATTATGTTGGTTTTGAGGAAAAAGGTGGGGAGTATTCATTAATGTTTTTTTGGTACCGCTTTGGGAGGAGTTAAAATTTGGTAATAAAAATAACCCGCTCAGAAATTCTTTGGTTGCTTAGATTAAAAGTAATTTGAGGAAAAATACTTAAATTTGTAAAGTCACATGGGAAAAAGCCCTTAATTTTTGATGGGTTTTTTTTGAATCACCAGAAAGGTTTTGGGTTTTGTTTTTTAACTGCTTGTTAATTACTAGGTTTTTAAGGCTGTTGCTGAAGATGTGAGTACAGTAGGGCCCCACTTATTTGGCAGGTTAGGTTCCAGGCTACTGCTGGAAAGCAGACTTTGCTGGAAAGCAGAACTCCATTTTTTTCCATTTATAAATGCATATAAATGCCAGATAACAAGTTTACACTAACATATATTAAGTTAACAATAGAACTAGGCATTAAAAAGTAAAATACACACAGTACACTCATTATTTACCTCTAAATATTTGTAGTCATAATGTAGGGCAAAAGGTGAATAGTATTTACTCTTATGACTCAGGTGTGGTAGCCCTCCTGGCCACCCCACCCACACATACTGTACAACGATGCTTAAAGCTCCCTAGAGTGATAAAATGCGTATACAGTACACGTATTACTTACCTTAAAATATTTATAGTCTTAATGGTCTTAATGTAGGGTTAGAGGTGAAAAGTATTTATTTGTAGAAAGTAGTGTGGGAGGTATGGCATCCTGCCTGGCCACTTATACCTACTATGACATTAGGCTCCCTAGAGCGATAAAATGCATATATAGTACACTCATTAACCCTTTGACTGTTTTGGCCGTATATATATGTCTTATGAGCCACCATTTTTAACGTATATATACTCATAAATTCTTGCGGCTTTAAATCAAGCAGGTGAAAGTTGGTAGGCCCACATTTGAGAGAATGGGTCTGTGTGGTCAGTGTGCACCATATAAAAAAAATCCTGCGGCATGCAGTGCATAATGAGAAAAAAAAACTCCGACTTTTTTTTTAAATTAAAATGCCAAATTTGTGATCTATTTTCGTATAGTATTTATGGTTGTATTCTCGTTTTCTTGCTTTCATTTGATAGAATGGAAAAAATTTTAGAAAAGATTGATTTTGTTTGGGTTTTTCTCTGAAAAAAAACCTTTGAAAGGGAGCTCAAAGTAGGGGAAATGTTTGATTTTTGCCGTTTTCTAAAAAAAACAAATGATGTCATTTTCCAAAAAATGTCCAAGTAGCCTTCAAATATGCAGTCATGAAGGGGGTTGACAATTTTTAAACAATTTTTAAAAAATATTGCATAGTTGCATAAAGAAAATTTTCTATTTTTTGTTTGTTTAAAAAATTTCAAAAAAGAAAGAAAGAGTAATTAAAAGGGGCCTGGAGACAGACTGATGAAAAAAAAAAAAACGTTTTTTTAGACCAGGATTTTTGCATTGTTCATTCTGGGCAATACTTGAAACTGTCAATTTTTTTAAATTTCGTGAAATTGGCCCAAATTGCTAATTTTTGACCATGTTATTGGGGAGTTTAAATCAGAATTGGGCAGTTTCTTGTACTTAATCGATAGAAAAAATGGAGTTCTAAAGAAATAGCTATGAGTTTGGTCGACTGGAACAAAGGAATTAGCCGAAAAAAGGCTCAAAGTGGGCAAAATCGCTGTTTTTTAAATTTTTCACCGGGGTAACTCGTGAGAGGTTTTTCCATCTTTTCCATCAAATTTCGCTCTTTTGGTGTCATTATAATTGGGAAAAGATTCTCTATCATTTCACAAGAAAAAGTTTTTTTTTTTTTTTGGAAATTTTACGACACCAGGAGACACCTCAGGATTTGGGGTTGCGACAGTCAAGGGGTTAATTACCTTAAAATATTTGTAGTCTTAATGTAGGGTGAGAGGTGAGTTTTATTTGTATAAAGTCAAGTTGGGAAGTATGGGTAGCCAGGAAGGGCAGCCCTCGCCACCCCACCCACACATAATGTAAACAAACCAAATGAACGCATCTGGTTTGTTTACATTATGGTCTCCATGTTGATACAGTAGAATAAATAAAGAGAAACACTCCCATTCTCATGTAACACCATTTTTAGAAGAAATGACACCCTGAGTGAAGGCATATGAAAGGAATAATTTTATTCTTACACATTTTTTCTCTGATGTTGGACTACAAGTTGCCTGGTTACCACAAGTCCTACAAGTTTCTTGGCTACCACAAATCCTACAAGTTGCCTGGCTACCACAAGTCCTACAAATTGCCTGGCTACCACAAGTCCCACAAATTGCCTGGCTACCACAAGTCCTACAAGTCGCCTGACTACCACAAGTCACCTGGCTACCACAAGTTACCTGGCTACCACAAGTTGCCTGGCTACCACAAGTCCTACAAATTGCCTGGCTACCACAAGTCCTACAATTCACCTGGCTACCACATCTCATATTTATGTTAATTTATTCTACTGTGGGGTGTATTTAGATGGATTAAGCAAAATGTCTATACAGTGAAACCTCTACTTACGAGTGCGTCCACGTGCGAGTTTTTTCAGATACGAGCGGCTGCTCGGTCTATTTTTTGCTTCCAGACGCAAGCAAATTTTCCAGATGCGAGCGGGCCTCAAGGGAGGTTAATTGACACTGGTGAGGGGGCTCTTGCTCTTGATATAGGGAATTGGATCTCAGTTGTTTGTTGGACTATCTTATTGAAACTTGGGCAATGTATGATGAAAAGATGCTTCTTAATGTACACCAAAAATGAAAGAAATCGGACCATGAAAAGCGGAGTTCACTTTTCAGCCATTAGCCTCCCCTTAGCTGTATATTTTCGTATGGTTTTTATGGTTGTATTCTCGTTTTATTTGGTCTCATGTGATAGAATGGAAGATATACTACAAAAATAAACATGATTTTAATTGGTTTCATGATGAAAAGTACCTTGAAATTGAGCTCAGAAAAGCAGAAATGTTCGATTCTTTGGCGACATCATGAGGTAGCAGTGGGAGACAACATGAAGCAGCAGTGACAGACAACATGAAGCAACAGTGGCAGACATCATGAGGTAGCAGTGGCAGACAACATGAAGCAGCAGTGGCAGACATCATGAGGTAGCAGTGGCAGACAACATGAAGCAGCAGTGGCAAAGTGTAGCATTAAGAGTGTAGCAATTAAGTGTAGCATTAAGAGTGTAGCAATTAAGTGAAGCATCTCATTCATCACTAGGCAGTTACATGAAAATTCCAGAGCTGGATGTATTACTCGGAAGCTTAGTAGCTTGCAAATGGTAAATAAATAATTAGTGACCATTTTTTACATTTATTCATAAGTTTTTGAGTTAATCATTAGTGAAATGTTTTTTATTAGTGGACAATAGAAACGTGATTCATCAATTTTACTAATGGCATTCATCATTATCTACTGTAGCCATTATCATAAAATGATTTGTAGACTTAGGATAAAAAAGTAACGACTAGATCTCTTACTGTTTATTTTTTCTTCAGATTATTAATCTTTCTTGTGATTCATGTTTTTTGTCAGGGCTTTTCGTGTTTGTAGTTGAAACCAGTTATGTGTCTCATTCCAGAACTGGAGGTGGCAGTCAAAAGCAATATTCTGTCAATAAAGTTAATGAAGAGAACTTACATTCATCACTTTTGAACCCAGAAGAACGTGGTTACATATATGATGAAGTGGATGATTTTGAGGATGACCAGGATCGTTTGGCTCTCAGTATGGCAAAGAAACTAATGGCACGAAAGGAAACGTCTTACGTAAGTGATACAGTTCTTGTTTTCTCCATTCTAATTGGTGTTCATGTAGAGTTACTGGGTTGAGGTAGATAGTTTTTGTTCTTTTGTAGACATTGATGTAGAATCCTAAGATGTTGATGGGTGAGTAGGTTTGGCATTGTATTTTGTAATGTCTGTGCTTTGTGTTATTATGCTTAGATTTGTGGAACTTACAATATGGTAGTGTATAGTATTGTTACAGTAGCTTTTATCAAGATAAGTCTTCTCTCCATGTTAGGATTTGCTTTAAGGAGAGCAAGTACATTCCTATCAAAGTCAGTCAGATTATTTCATATAATTGCTAGTGTGAGCTGATTCTCCTTTTCCTACCACAGAAGCTCCTCCTCTTCTAGCATTTCTTCCTCATTTGGGTATCCCTGCACTATTCAAATCCCATAATTCCTTCTTCGGTCAGGTCCATACCATCCTCATTCTTTATCAGCTTTATATCCCTGACTTCCTAGTCAGGGAAAACTTTGAAAATTATTAACCACTGCATTCATAGCATTTTAGTTTGCTTCACCTCATGATGACTTAGTCCATAATTGTGTCAGCAGTGAATGTAGATAAATGGTTCAGAGAACCATTCTTCTTTGTATTGGACTGACAAAGCCACTGTGTGGCAAAACATTTCCTCAGTAAAGATACCCAGGTGTTGCACATGTATCTAATTGCATCAGCAGTATTGAATCCAGGAAAGAAATTTGAATAACAGCATGGTCCAGGGATTGGATTAAATAGACAGTATTGAGTGATATATACACAGCCCTCACATTTGAGTTCTGATCGCTGCAGCATCACAGCAAGGTGATTAACCCTTTCAGTGTCGAGATCCCTGCTCTCAAACTTGTTCTCAGGGTCAAAGAATTTTCAAAAAAAAAAAAAAAAATATTTTAATTTGTGAAATGATGGCTAATCTTTTTCCCAAAGGTAATGAAACTAAAAGTAGGAAATTTGATGGAAAGCTTATGGAATTGTGCTCTTGCAAAGTTAGTGGTCTCAGCGATTTTATGCATCAGTGACTACACCTACCTTGCACTCTATTTTTGGCCGATTCCATTGTTCCAATCCACCAAACTCTCAGCTATTTCGCTAGTATTCCTTCTATTCAATCGATTGAGTACAAGAAACCACCCATTTTCCTATTTCAATTATCCAGTAAAACGATCAGAAATTGGTAATTTTGCCAATTTCATACAAAATTCAACAATTGCCACTTTGAAAATAAGGTCCAGAATAAACAATGCAGACATTCCTGGCACTAGATAAACATTTTCTCTGTTCCTTAGTCATATCTCCAGGCCTCTCTTATATTACTCTTGCTTTCATTTTGAGTTTTTATTCACATAAAATAGAAGATTTACTATTATGCAGCTTACTGCATTATTGTAATAATTGTATAAATAATGTCATTGTATTTCTAAATGCATATTAGACTGGCCAGTTGGAGATGTATTGGAGCAGTGACGTCATTTGTGTACTCTGGAATATTGGCAAAAATCGAACATTTCCACTACATTGAGCTCAATTTCAAGCTACTTTCACTTCTGAAACTAATCAAAATCATCTCTACTTCTGTAAAATATCTTCCATTCTATCAATTGAGACCAAGAAACCGAGAATACAACCACAAAAATCATACAAAAATACACTGCAAAGTTGCACTGCCTCCTGCAGGTTTTTTTTTATATGGTGCACACTTACTGCATAGACCCATCCTTTTAAATCTAGGCCAAAATTTACTGCTTACTGCATACTATGGGACAAACACTTGCTTCAAAGCCATGATACAATGGGACCGACACTAAAAGGATTAAGGGGGTTGTCAGGAATGAGAACCCAGAATTCAAGTTCCCGTTATTTCAAATATTGGATACTGTTAGCTGGAGTATGAAGGAGTTTACCAGTATGAGCCAATCACTGAACTGAGATGTAGTCATCTGTGCCATTTTTGTTTGGTCACAAAAGAACAGGTGAAAGCACCCTGTCAGTGGCCATCATGGAGAACTACATTATAGTAACCAAGGTCCACTTACACAGATCTACGTCATGAGCTCAACTCAGATAAGCTGTGAGCTGTACATTTTGGCCTAAATATGAGAAAATTGGTCTGTACATTGAGTTGCATACTATACAAAAAAAAAAAATCCTCCCCATAGCTCAATTGCTAGTCACCCAATTCACACATTGAGGTTCGTAGTTTCATCCCTGGTATGGGCAGAAACATTAGGATGTGTTTCCTTAACCCTTTCAGGGTCTGTCCCGTAGATCTACTGCTTTACGTTCAGGGTCCAAACTGTAGATCTACACCAAAATTCTAGCGGCGTCAAATTTAGCTCGAGAAGGCTGGTAGGCCTACATCTGAGAAAATGGGTCTGGGTGGTCAGTGTGCACACCATAGAAAAAATCTGGACGCCCGCATGGCATTGTGGGAACTCCGGCAAAGTAGCTTTGTTCATTGTGCCTGGCGGCAAGGAAGCTCTCACTCCCCACTCACTCTCCGGGCGAATTCTGACTCTCTTCTTCACAACTTACAGTTCTAAGACTGATGGAAGTGGAGCTGAAGACGAATTCTATGGTTTTGAACCATATGGTACCATTGTGCAATATGGTACCATATGGTACAGTGGTGCCATGTCATACAATGGTATCATATGGTACAATGATAATGTATGGTAGAGTGGTACCATATGGTACAATGTACCATATAGCACAATGTACCATATGGTACATTATACCATATGGTACAGGGTACAGGGACCCTAATGGAAATAAGTCTGTCTGACTTTTTTGGGTTATCCTAGGTTCTCCAAACATATGCTGCTAAGTATGATATGCTATGTAACTTTATTTGTGTATAACTAAATAAACTTACTTATGATGCCACATGCACTTGAGTAAGTTTATTCAGGTGTACAGAAATACAACTACATACATAGATTATCATACATAGCAGCATAGGTATAAAATCCTAGGATAACCCAAAGAAGTCAGGGTGACTTATTTCCATAGTTATCCCTGTATTTATTTATTTATTTATTTATTTATTAACAATTTGAGCACACATACAGACGTACAAAAAAATACAGATAAGAGCAGCATGCCAAAGCCACTTATACTATGCATAGCATTACGGGCTGGCTTAAAATTAACTTAAAATTACGTAAGAAAATATTCAAGCCAATTGCAGGTGGTCAGTCGTCACGTGAGGTCACAGACCCTGAGCTGCTTTGGGGATTAGCGTGGACGGTTACAAAGCATGGCTTGCTTCTGCAGTGTTTTAAAAATTGAGGTTGGAGAGTTGAAGGAGGAGGTCTTGCTTCTCCAGGAGGAGATTAGGAGGCTGAAGGTCCACCTCAATGGGTCTGGGAGAGAGAGTGAGGTGGCTGGAGTTGTGGGGAATGAGGCTTCTAGCAGTGAGGTGCAGTCTGTCTCTCGCTGTGAGGAGGCTGTAGGTGGGGAGGTAGCAATGGCTACCAGCAGTGAGGTGCAGCCCAGCACCTGCTACAAGTGGCGAGTGGTTCACAGTAATGGGAGGCGCATCAGAGTAAGGAAAGTTAAGAGTGAAGATCTGAAGGTAGGAAATCGCTTCTCTGTTCTTCAGGATGAATGTACTTCAGTGGCCAGTGAAGGTAAGGGTACTACTGCCCCTGCTAATGGAGGTAAGCGCATTCTTGTGGTTGGTGACTCTCGGGTAAGATATATTGACCGTGCTTTTTGTAATAGGAATAAGAAGATGAGAGATAGAGTGTGCTTCCCTGGAGCTGGTGTTGGGGACATTGTCAACAGGCTGGATAATATCATGTCAGGTAATGGGAACAAGCCCATTATCTGTCTCAGTGCTGGTGGAAATGATATTGGAAAGGGTAGGAGAGAAGAGCTGCTAGATAAGTACAGGTCAGCTATAGATTTCATTAAGTCTAAGGGAGGGATCCCAATCATATGTAGCATCTTGCCTAGAAGGGGAGTAGGAAATGAATGGTTGTCTAGGGCAATTGGTGTAAATTGCTGGCTAGACAGATACTGCAAGGAACTTGCAATCCCATTCATTGACAACTGGAACAACTTTTATGGCAAACATGATAATGTATGCAAGGGATGGGGTACATCTCTCTGGGGCAGGGGTGGTAGCACTTGCAGACTCGATTGAGAAGGCCATTGGTGAAATGCCTATGATTTTAAACTGATGGAAGATAGAGGTATGGGTGTGTGTGGGAAACAAGCAGGTTGCAACACTAGGGTTGGAAACAGTAAATGTATAAAAGGCATTCAGCATGAAGTTATAAATAAAGACAATAGATCAGGTCAGCAAACAAAGGGGGACAGCAGAGGGCAGCAAGGGACTAGCTCCCTTAAGGTTTACTATACTAATAGCAGGAGTGTAAGAAATAAGATAGATGAGCTAAGATTAATTGCAAGTGCAGGAAACATAGATATTATTGCTATAACAGAGACCTGGCTCAATCTGAAAGATAGAGAGATGCCCTCTGAATGTCACATACAAGGCTATAAATTATTCCACACTGACAGGGTCAACAGGAAGGGTGGTGGAGTAGCGATGTATGTCAGAGACAATTTAAATTGTTGTGTTAGACAAGATATTAAATTAGAAGCGTCAGCCACTGAATCTGTTTGGTTACAGCTTCTCGAGGGCCGAGAAAAACTAATTTTGGGTGTGATTTACAGGGCCCCAAATCTTGATAGGGAGTGCAGTAAACTTCTATGGGACGAAATTCGTAAGGCATCTACATACGAAAATGTTGTGCTAATGGAGATTTCAACTATAGACAGATTGACTGGAGCAGTTTGACAGGAAATTTAGAGTCAGGTGACTTTCTTGATACAATCCAGGATTGTTTTTTAAAACAGTTTGTGACAGAGCCAACTAGGGGAAATAACCTCCTTGACTTGGTTCTTGCCAGTAGGGAAACACTAATTAATGATCTTGAGGTTAATGATGAGCTTGGGGAAAGTGATCACAA